TGGAAGAACATAGATATTAAACAAAAAAAGGCACTAAGGAATTTAAATCCTTTTGCTATTCATCACAAAAACGTTTTTGTTTTTTTTTTCCAGCAAGGCTACAATCATAACCAGTGAAATGACGATGAACCTAAAGCCACAACAGCACGTGTGCCCAAGGCACATGTCTTGAAACAGTAGTGCCTGCAAATGAGGTACCAGAACTTGAATTATTAAGGCATACTGCTATGGGAAGATATGCCTGCAAAATGGGACCTGGTTCTCAGAGAACTCGATTCTCACCACAGCAGGAGGCAGGGTTGCCCCCTTCCACCATCCACGGTGTCCATGGAGTGGCCTCCAGCACTGTGTGGAGGTGCACAGACATGAGAGCAAAACCTGGAGAGATGGGGCGGGCAGGAACTGGAAGGAAAAATTTGAGGACAAGGCTAACAACTGGGCAGTAAGAAAGAAAGGAGGGTCTGCCCAAGTTTGTAGTTTGGTGGCCTGAGATGCTAAGCTGTTTCTGGAAGTAACAGTAGAAATTCACTGTGTTTGCTTCTGGAGCTGTAGAGCCAGCCTCTCCTGTCTCTCTAACAGTGGGTTCTCCTTGTTAAAGCCTTGTAAACAACTGAATAAGAGAAACACAAAAATGAGGAATGTATGGTTATCCACGTAAAATTCTTGGTTTACTTATTTGATCTAACCAACATGGGGAAATAGATAGGGCTTAAAATGAGAAGGTATGAAAATGAAACAGGACCTCAAATAAATACATTTGACCATTATACTTGCTGAAAAGTAACGGTCAACAAGTGAAGTGTTCAGTGGCAGAAAAACAGAGTACTGATTAGAATAACACGGCTGCCCACGAGCACACCCAGCCTGTATGGATGGGATAAAATAATTTAACAATGTGAGGTTCCAGTTCCAGGACAAGATGAAGCAGGCACATTTTTCCCTGCTTGTAGCACTAAGAACAGCTTAAAACTCTTGGCATTATATACTAAAAAAAGAAAAAACAAACAAAAAGCAAAACTGAAAAAAAAAATTGAAAAACTAGGAAGATTCTGAAAGGTAAGACAGTAAAAGCTAGACTCGCTAAGGACCTCAGGATCTGAAAAACAATACAATGATGAGGTCCCTGGTGGCCTTTATGCCTCATATGTTCTGCACTGGGTTCTGGACCAGCTAGCCACCTGGGTATGCCAAAAGACACACTCAAAATAATATCTGCTCTCTCTGGCCAAAGGACATGTAAAGATGTGGCCTAGCAAGATGGAAGACTTCTGGACAATGACCACAGTACTCTAGCCAAATAGTATGGAAAAAACTGTGATTCCACCCACCCCTGTCAGAAAGGCTGAGTGGGAAGCCTAGACTTCTACTCTTGCTGGCCTGAAATGAGGTATCCGACTGTCCTCTGCAATGCTCAGCAGCTCAGCAATTACAAGGTGCCCCTCTCTCCTCAGGGTAGACACAGGGGTTGGGTGGGGAACTTTGTCTTCCACTCCCACCTGGCAGTAACAAGGAAGTGCCTTCCTTCCTCTGCCAGCCTGGTGTCCAAGGCGGACTTTATGCCAGCTAAAAGAAACTTTAAATAGGGTTCAGAATTTCAGAACATACTATCCAGGGTACAACTGAAAATCACTCATCATACAAAGAACTAAGAAAAGCTCCACTTGAATGAGAAAAGACAAGCAATAGATGCCAACACTTAGATAACACAGATGTTGGAATTATCTGGCAGGAATTTTAAACCTGCAGATTCAAGAAGCTGAATGAACATGAAATGTTATAAATTCAAGAAATCTATGTCAAACACAAAATAATCAAACTCCTGAAAACTAAAGGCAAAGAAAAAACCTTGAAAACACAGTAAGAGAAATGACATCTTACCTATAGGTGACAAACAATTCAAGTGACAATGCATTTATCATCTGAAACCAGTAAGACCAGAAGGAAGTGGAATAACATTCTCTAAGTGCTGAAGGAAAAGAACTGTCAACTCAGAGTTCTACATCCAGCAAATATATCCATCATGAATGAAAGGAAAATTAGGACATTCTCAGATGAAGGAAATCTAAGAGAATTTGTCACTAGCAGACCTACCCTAAAAGAACGGCTAAGGAAGTTCTTAAAATGGAAAGGAAATGATAATAAAAGAAACCTCCAGGAAGGAAGAAAAAACAATGAAAAGATTAAAAATTTGGGTAATACAAGAAGTTTTAATTCTCCTCTTCTAAATTATGGCTGATGGTTTAAGCAAAAATTATAACATTGCCTGATGTGCTTCTCAAAGTACTATATAGAAGAAATATTCAAGATAATTATAAATAGGGCAGGGTAAACGGACTTAAAGGAAGGTAAAGCAACTACATTTCATTCAAATTGGTAAAATACCAACACCAATAGACTGCAGTAAGTTACATATATTTAATGCAATACTTAGAGAAACCATTAAAAAATCAAATATTGAACTCATACAGAATGTGTTCTCACCACAATGGAATCAAAACTGGAAGTCAATAATAGAAAGATAAAAGGAAAATTTCCAAATACTTGGAAACTGAACAACATACTGCTAAATAATCCATGGGTCAAAGAAGAACACTCAAGAGAAATAAAAAATATATTGAGTTGAAAGAAGATAAAAATACAACAAATCAAAATTTGTAAGACACAGCTAGAGCACTGCTGAGAAGGAAATTTATAGCACTTAATGCTTGTATCAGAAAATGAAAAATGTCTCCAATCAATAATATAAACTTCTACTTTATGAAACTAGCAAAATAAGCCCACAGCCAGCCAGAGGAAGAAAATAATAAAGATAAGAGCAGAAACCAATGAAATTGAAGGCAGAAAAACAATAGAGAAAAATCAATGAAATAAGAAGCTGACTTTTTGAAAACATCAATAAAATTGTCAAACCTTTAGCAAGACTGACAAAGAAAATAAGAGAAGACACACATTATATATAACAAGAATGAAATGGGATGTTGCTACAGGTTCTCAGACACCAAAAGCATAATAAGGGATCATTTCAAACAACTCTGTACACACAAACTTGGTCACTTGGATGAACAGACCAATTCCTTGGAAAGCACAAACTACTACAACTCACTCAACATGAAATAGATAATTGGAATATCCCCATTGCTATTAAAGAAATTTAATTTGTAATTTCAAATCTCTCAAAAGAGAAATCTCCAGGCTCACCTTATTTCTGAGGAATTTTGAAGAATAGTACCACATGTTTAAACAAGAATTAACACCAATTCTACAAAGTCTCTTCCAGAAAACAGATGAGAAAGTAACATTTTTGAACTAATTTTATGAGGCCAGTATTACGTTAATACCAAAATCTAAGAAATACAGTACATAAAAAAGTAATTAATATTCCTTATGAATATAAACACAAATAGCATTTCTATGCAATAATGTATTATATAAATAAATATAATAAATAATATAAACCCTACTTGGTCATGGTGTAAAAACATATAAGTGTGTGTATATATGTATACATATAAAGTTGTACATGCATATATAAAAAATTCATACCTATACATAAATATATATATATATTATAAATCCTACTTGGTCATAGTGTAATCCTACAACCAAGTAGGAGTTATTCCAGAAATACGAGGAGGGCTTAACATTCAAGATTTATTAATGTAATCCACCAGATTAATAGGCTAAAGATGACAAATCACACAATCATATATTCATGATAATACCGTCAGAACACCATGAATCGAGGGGAATTTCTTCAACTTGGTACAGAATTCTACAAAAATACTACAGCTAACATCATAGATAATGCTGAAAGACTGAATTCTTTCCACCTATGATTAGGGACCATATTTGCTCTCTCCACTTTATTCAACATTGTACCAGAAGTCCAAGCCAGAGCAATAAGGCAAGAAAAGAAAACAAAGGCATACAGATTGGAAAGGAAGAAATAAACTGTCCCTATTTGCAGATGACATGACAGCCAACACAGAAAATACCCCAAAGAATCTACAAAAGATTCCTAGAATAGGTAAGTTCAGCAAGCTCACAGGACATAAGATCAACGTAAAAAAATAAACCATATTCCTACATACTGCAACAAACACAGGGGCACTGAAATTAAAAATATGACACCATCCACAATCACTCAGTAAACAGATGAAAGACTTCAATATAAATCTAACAAAACATGTACTGGACTTGTATGCTTAAGGTATAAAATACTGATGAAAAAAATAAAAGAAGATCTAAATAAATGGTGAGACATACTATGTTCATGGACTGGAAGACTCGACATAGTAAAAATATCTCCCCAAATGATCTATAGGTTTAATGCAATTTTTATCAAAATCCCAGCAAGATTTTCGTAGATATAGAGAAGTGTTTATATAATTGATATGGAAAGACAAACGAAATAGAAGAGTTAAAACAATTTTGAAAAACAAAAGTAATATGGGATTAAGCACTCTATTTCCCTTTAAGACTTATTAGACAGCCACAGCTTACTATACAGCTACACAGACAAATGGTCCAGAACAGAGAACTGAGAAAGAGATCTACACAATTGCAGCCAATTGTTGTTTTTTTTTCTTCGGCTGCATTTTTTTAACAGCGTTATTGAGATATAATTTGCATACCATAAAATTATCCCATTTAAAGCATACAATTCAATCATTGTTGTAATATTACATCATTAAGATTTAAAATTGTAGTAAAATATAACAAAATTGTGGTAAAATATGATTTATAACATAAAATTGGCCATTTTAACTTTTTTTTTTTTTTTTGCTGAGGAAGACTTGCACTGAGCTAACATCCACTGCCAATCTTTCTCTTTTTGTATGTGAGCTGCCACCACAGCATGGCCAATGACAGATGAGTGCTGTATGTCTGCGCCTAGGAACTGAACCTGGGCCACTGAAGCGGAACACATCAAACTTAACCATTAAGCCACCAGGGCTGGTCATTTTAACTATTTCTAAGTGGGAAATTCAGTGTCATTTAAAAAATACGAATCCTTCACAAATTTTCATTCATCCTTGCTCAGGGCCCATGGTGATTTTCTCTGTATCACTCCAATTTTCGTGTATGTGCTGCCAAAGCAAGTACTGGCCAACTACTTTTGACAAAGGTGGAAGAGTAACCCCATGGGTAGTCTTCAATAAATGGATATCCATTTGCAAAGGAGATATTCATCAGCAAAAAGACACAAAAAACCCCAAAACATAAACAAAAAACCTGAACCTCACATTTTAAACAAAAATTAAGTCCAAATGGATCATAGATTTGTGTTTAAAACACAAACCTATAAAACCCTTAGGAGAAAAAATAGGAGAAAATCTTTGGGGCATTGGATTTGGTGACATCAAAAGCAAAACTGATAAATTGGACTTAATTAAAATGAAAACCTTTTGCTCTGTGAAAGACCTTGTTAAGAAGGTGAAAAGACAAGCTACAGACCAGAGGGAACATCTGCAAACCACATTCCTGACAAAAAACTCACCTAGGATCTATAAAGGACTCTCATAAGATGAACACCCCTATTAGAACACGGGCAAATGCCCTAAAGAAAACATATGTAAGGAAACCATTTATGTTTAGCAGTGTCAGGCTCCTGTGGCCAGTATGTAAATGAGGCACAGAATGATTAAACAGCAACAGCCTGGGCCCTGCAGCCAGGGGAGGTGCGCGGGTGCCCGTCAGAGAAGGATGCCAACAAGGGACCAGGGACGAGGTGTCGCACCCTGGGCCTTCCTCAGCAACTGCCGGGCATGGGATGACCGTGAGACTTCACAGAGAGCGGGGAAGGGATTCAAACTAACCTTCAGCGCTGCCCACAACAGGGCATAAGCAACAGGCACAGAAAGAAGCCAGCCCTACCTGCTTAAAGCACTTAAATTTGAATTTGAGCCAATGTGGGCTGAGATGGAGACTTTTTCACAGTTATAGCATCTGCCCTTCAGAACTGCTGTGTGGAGTGGATAGGATGTCTTTGGTGGTCATAGGTGCTCAAGTCACAGATTCCCCAATGTGTACTGAGTGTTTATAGCAGTGCTGTGCCAGACACTGGGGGACAAGGACAAGGGTATCCTTACTCACCTGCATTGGGAGGTTGCTGAGAGTTTAGCTCAGCTACTCGATGCTGTTGCTGCCTCAGCATCCATTTTGTTTGGCCAGATGGCCTGCAGAGACCTTAAACTGACACTAGCCCCTCAGCAAGCACATGCCATGGATGACAGCTCACAGAATCACAAGCAAATGTAAGTTCCTGATAGAACTTCCCCAATAGCCCTTGTGACAAAGAGTCTCCACCATCTCCCAGGGCCTTGCCCTTGTAAGACCCTTTGATAACACCCCTGTGGAGTTCACTACAACCCCTCTCTTTTGGTTAGAACTGATGAATCTGGACTTAGCCCAGGAAACCCGAAGCACTGCATCCACAGACCCTAATAAAGGCACGAGCCCCAGGTCCTGCCTCTCTCTCTCTCTGCCTGCACCCTGCCTTGACTTTCCCATGTGGCCCCTCGAGGCGAGCCAGGTACTTCCTCCAGGACCTGTGAGTAATAAATTTCTCTACTTCACTTTCTCTTGTGGTCTTTTGCTGAGAGTGACTCACCATCTGGTATCCCAGGGCTCTACTTAACCAATGTTAATTTAACAAAATCCTAACACAGATAAATGAAAAAGAGAGAGCTAAAACAGCCAGGAACCCCTCTGGAGAGGTATGAGATGCAGAAGAGAGCCAGGGGGTAACAGTTCAGAGGGGTGTGGTGAGCAGGGCAGAGGTGCCCCCTCAGGCATGGTCCCTCTGGAAACTCATCTGCCTGGGGAAGGAGGGGTTGTAATGAGCATGGCACCACCTGCCTCGTCAGCTCTGTACTTTCTCCTCCCACCACAAAATGAGCTGGTGCTGCGCAGGTGTTGTACTTGTGTATTAACTATGTCTTTTATTTTCTATATTTCATGCTTTGACATCTTGGGGCTTTGTTGACCCTAGAGAGACAGCACGCCCCCCAGGCTTTACCAATTCCTAGAGATAGTAAACAACCCACTCTCAAGTGTGCCTTTCAAATACAAACCCATCAGTCCAGAGCCCATATCCCCACCACCTCCTCTGTTGGGCTCTCACACTCCAGGCCACTCTCCACCTGCCCTAATCACCCCAGGATCAGGTACCAGGCAGCTAGGGACAGCCCTTAAGCCCCAGAGCCCACTGCCACTGAAATTTTCAAACTAGTCCATCCTAAGCCTGCTTACCCCTCCTCTCCTGTTCCTCCCCTTGGAAAGCACAATAAAGGCTCTTGCCCACATTTTCCTCTTGCTCCCTCTGCCACCTGATCAGCCCAGTATGGTCCTTCTCATGTGGCTCCCTATGGCATGGCGTGCCCTCTCCTTTTGGGAATTGTGAGTAACAAACTACCTTGGCAATGGTAGTTGTCTCCTGATTTGCTGGCCTCACCATGCCTCAAATTTTCTACAAACATATTATATTTTAAAGCAACTTATCCTTGAGATTTTGACTATATGTTATATGACTATGTTACACAGAGAGTGGGGAAGGGGTTCAAACTAACCTTCAGCGCTGCCCACAACAGGGCATAAGCAACAGGCACAGAAAGAAGCCAGCCCCACCTGTTACATGTTATACGATATGACTATATTATGACTATATATCTTACATTTCACATACACAGCCTCCCTTTCTATAATATTGTTCCATTCTTTACAACAAGACTTTTTTGGTTGCTTCATCAAATCTTGAGTTAAAGGGGATCCTTTGGAATAATGACAAAGAAATTGAGCCAACTCCCCAGGTTGGTTTCCAGAGTATGCAAAGAAAGCCAGCAGCCTGACTTAGGGCACAAAGCCCAGCTGGGCCTAGTCCTGCCTAGTACACAGAGTTAGACCACTCAGCACCGGCAGCGATGTGGAATTACACTAAGTCTAGGTCAGAGTTTGGGGATACTTTTCACTCTGTTTGTGGTTCACACGAGGTCACACAGATGGCTAGAGTGTTGATAGGGGCAAGAAAGAATGAGAATGAGCAGCGAGGAAATGATCCTTATGACAAATGCTGTTAACTGGCTAATTCATGAGCTGATGAAAGCTTGATTTCCCAAACCAGCAATGGGAAACATTCCATCACAAAAAGGCATGAGTAATGAAAAAGGCTGAAATCCAGCAGGCCCCTGGCTTAAAGGGGATGAGAGTGGACTGCAGGCTCTCAGTCACTCCTTGAGGGTATAGACCAGGGTGATGTCATGATTTTGTCTACACTCCCTGCTTCAGCCTGTCTCCCTGGAGCCTGTTCAGCTCCATATGGCAAAGAGTGCAGCATCTCTTGCTACAACGTGCTGTGTCGGAGCGTCTCACTTTCTTCCCTGAGCTTTAAACCACATCACCTGGTCCTAAATCCTCTAATCAACATTGTTTTTCTTCTTTTTTTCCTCCCTCTTTCTTGGCTTACTTTACCCTTATCACCACTCTCCATAATTCTGCAAACTTCACTTGCTATAAATCACCTTGAAGACACCTTGAAGCCACCTGACTCTCCAGGGGGAATAAATTCTAAATTGCATGATGATATCTGTAATACCCATGGAGTCTTGAAAAATGGAAAAATACAAACTCAAGAATGAGAAAGGCTTTACTCCCATAACGCAAGGTATTTTCTTCCTAGCAAAGTTGCAAAACATCACTGGTTTTAAATTTGAGACCGGATTCTGTGGTTTGCATTGAGGTTCAAAGAACATACAAGAATAATGCACATTTGATAACTGGAAATAAGAGATAAGTAATGCACTTTGTTTGTGTCACCTTAGATTAAGATGCATCACTTACATCCTTTAAGGCTCTCCCTGTGGGTAAACACTGAGCGGCTAGGAGGCCACATACTAGGACAGTGGCCAGAAAGGGAATTTTTCTTCCCTCCTTCAGCAGTCGGTATTGTGTTTCTCTCTCCATTTCCTCCACAGAGATTGCTTGATTACCTATAATTGTGCATCAAAGAAGCACAGCTATGCCCCAGGGCACAAGGTGGGATCCTGCCCCAAAGACCCTTCTGGGGGACCCCACACAGGGGTGACAGTCCCTGAGCAACCAGGCACCCCTGCCTAGGGTGGTGCTGAGTAGGGAGTTATCCGCCTAGAGAAAGATTCAGGGAAACTGAATGAGCACAACTTGGGGGAGACAATCAAAACGCAACTTAATTTTGGTCTCCCTCTGATCTCCTTAAAAAAATTCAGTGGGGGAATTCAGAAGGGTCATTCCTTCCACTGGATGAGAATCGGGCATGTCTCCTGAGTTATACATAGTGTGCACCATAAACAGAATGTATTCTGTCCATGGGGCTAATCAACACCACCATCTCCAAACTTCACTTCAGGTAAGCCTTTCCTCTGGCTCCTCTAGGCCTGTGGGCGCTCCTGCCTGCTGTAAAGGGGTGAGGCCTGGCATCTTCTGCTATGTGGAGGCAGAAGGAGGGAAGTTTGACCTGAGGGTACTCCATACCCTATCTTATGGCCCCCAGGCCTGGCAGACGTTGAAGGCTCACTTGCCCTTGTGGGCCGTTTCACTGGTTCCTTGGAGACTCCTATCACAGGGTCACTTATTTCCAGTTTCCTTGACCCAAGTGGCTGCATTTATACTCTTAATGGTCCCCTTCAGCAATTTCAGCCTTCTTAGGAACCTGATGAACACCTCTGGCTTCTTGAAGCTGAGGTCCCTCTGCCCCACCACGTGGCCCCAATGATGGGGGTCAACACAACCCACACATTCCTCTCTGACAGCCTTGAGGAATGTGACCTGATCCCTTTCCTCACCCTCAAGATGCCCAGAAGAGGTCCAGACCCTAGTCAACTCTCCTCCCAACCAAGAGATGGCACCTTATTCTCCAATATCCCTGTTGATCCTCAGCTTAAGGGTCCCAGGTGAGAGGCAGGCCCCTCCTGCCATTAGACAGAGGAGCTGACATTGGCATCCTAATGGCCTTTTCAAAAATTTCTCATCACAGAATCCTTTCTCCTCCCACACCTGATTCCTCCCTTTAGATCACTGGTCAACCTGAGGAATCCAAAAACTGGAGAAGTGATTCTAGCTCTTTCCCTTCC